TTTGTCCTATTTCATGCGATCTCCTAAATAGCCTTCTGAGTGTGATAATAACAATATTTCAAACGAACGGAGTACAACAAACAATGTCGATAATATTCTAGTATTGTCATAACACCTCCATTGGTTGTGTTAATGCATGATCTATGTATCGGGAATTTTTAAAGATAGGCGAGGAAAGGGGGGGGGGGTGGAAGGATAGGAAGGGCATATTGTTGGATTCTTCTTTTAGAATTACACAAGTATGTATTGGAAGTTAACGTCTTTTTAACAGCCAGATTTCCTTATAACCTTATAACATAATTTATATATTTAATCCAACTAGAAAAAGCGCAAATCATTTCCAATGTCGAGCTTCTGGGAACACATCAGAAAACCTGTATTTATAAGAAAAGTCATGATCGGACCAGAAATATCGGACGCATTACAATGTTAACCCTATCCGTACGCTGTGTTTTACTAAAGTATCCATACGACGTGGGAACTCTGTGCCACCACTTTCCAAAGAGGAAATTTACTTGTTAATTCGATCCGTACGCTTTGCATAGCAATCTGTCAAAATGATTTTTTGAGAAATACTGAAAGTTTCAAAGAGATCTTCGCACTAGAAGTATTCTAAAATGTGAAGAATACAACCGCGGGGGTACAAAATGACCCCAGGGCGTACCGATAGGGTTAAACCTCGAACTTCGACCCGTGAACTAGTTTGTAAGGGGAAATTGACTATAGCAACGACCCGGTTTTCGTGCCCAGACTGAACGCGTCACTGACTTTTGTACGATAAACTGACTCATAAGAGTTTATTCATGTAGTTCTGTTCCGTTCATAAATGTTTGAGTACCTAATAGAAATGGTCGCTTTTAAGGACAAGCGGGCTAATATAACCCAGATTTCGGAGGTTTGCAGAAATCTTCACCTACGCCAAAAGTGGGCGTTGCCCTACCTGTAGGAGAAGTTTTGTTTCATTGGTGGGTACACATTTTGTTTGGTTATTGAGAAAACTCTCCTTGTCTTTTAAAGAAACTGAACAAAGAGCAAAAACTTTACTTTCGATTTTCTCAAAACATTAATTTTTGGGATATCCTCCTTGTGCTTAAAGCGACCAATTCATGTAGTTATGGTCCGTTCCACAGAATTCTACACTTATAGAACGGGAACTGTACCACGTGACCTGTGAGGAATTGAAGACCGAAAACAATGGCGTCTTGAGGGCACGATTTATCGTTTTCGGAAGTAACCCTATAGCTTTTAAAGCAATAGCGGCTTTTACAAACGAGTGAAAAGTGGAACATTTACTGTCCAGTTTGTAATTTTGAGTTACAGAATTCACTGTGCAACTAGAGATTGGAATTAAGGTTTTAAATTGTTGTGTTTTTGGGTGCAACAACAGAAACAGCAGACATAGCGAGTTTATAAATATAAGATCTACAGAACTGTGAAAAAAATCGTAACACGGATGGGATTGTTCACAGCACTTCTAGCTTCCCACACACATTTTGCATACGCATATGGCCTACGTAATTTTTTAGTAGCAAAACTTGTTACAAGAAATTTGTTTTACACTGAACATATTTTTTCACTAGATCTAATTAATGTTCTCAAAACATGCGTTCAATAATTAACTTTATGTCGCCAGCAGAAGTAGAAAAAAGGACGGACTTGCTTTTAAAAGAGATTTAGCTCCAGCTATAAACTTTTTAAAAATCTGTAGAAACCATTGACTGGGATTTTTTTTTTATATTGGGCTTGTATTTATTAAAGAATTTTCTTTAAAGAAATTTCTACAATAATATAGAACCTATAGATGTGTGCAAATGTTTGAAAAAAATACTCATCGGTTAAGACGAATTGAGATCTAAGTCATTGTGTAAACGTAGGAGAATCTAGATCTAGGTGTTCGATAGTTCAGTAGCCTAGCGATATTTGATAATAAGTTGCGCATCAAATATTTGACCCGCATGCTACAGTAGTATAGCGTATTATTTTCATCCGAAACATTAATTTCCGCATCCATACACCTTTTTGGGCCTTTATAAGCACATGTAGTCCAACTTTAATTATGTTGCTTTCATAATTGTTTTTGAAAGCGTTTTCAATTCCTTTCACTTTCACTTCCCACGCGCGGGCTCATATAATTATGATTATAATTTAAGATTCCAAATCTGCCGAATGTATTATTAAATAGCGTATAATGCTGAGTTAGCCAATGCATTGCAATGCGCGCTATTATCAATTATTGAATCGTAACTAGACTTCAATTTGATCCGTAACATTAAGAGTAAGAGACCACTTATTTTTTTATACGTGTTCATGAATGTGTGTTTGTTTACTGTGTGCGGAGATTAAAAATTAAAGATTAAAGTTCCAGATCTGACGAATGTATTTATAAAATAGCGTAATAGTGCTGGGTTAGCCGATGCCTTGCGATACACGCTTTTATCAATTAATAATCAATTGAGTTGTAACAGGACTTCGATTTGATCCGTAACAAGACAACACTTATTTTTTCTTATACGTGTTCAAAAATGTGTGCTTGTTTACTGTGTGCGGGAATTAAAGATTTAGGATCTGACGAATGTATTTATAAAATAGCGTAATAGTGCTGGGTTAGCCGATGCCTTGCGATACACGCTTTTATCAATTAATTGAATTGTATCAGGACTTCGATTTGATCCGTAACAAGACAACACTTATTTTTTCTTATACGTGTTCAAAAATGTGTGCTTGTTTACTGTGTGCGGGAATTAAAGATTTAGGATCTGACGAATGTATTTATAAAATAGCGTAATAGTGCTGGGTTAGCCGATGCCTTGTGATACACGCTTTTATCAATTAATTGAATTGTAACAGGACTTCGATTTGATCCGTAACAAGACAACACTTATTTTATCTTATACGTGTTCAAAAATGTGTGTTTGTTTACTGTGTGCGGGGATTAAAAATTAAAGATTAAAGATTCCAGATCTGACGAATGTATTTATAAAATAGCGTAATAGTGCTGGGTTAGCCGATGCCTTGCGATACACGCTTTTATCAATTAATAATCAATTGAGTTGTAACAGGACTTCGATTTGATCCGTAACAAGACAACACTTATTTTTTCTTATACGTGTTCAAAAATGTGTGCTTGTTTACTGTGTGCGGGAATTAAAGATTCAGGATCTGACGAATGTATTTATAAAATAGCGTAATAGTGCTGGGTTAGCCGATGCCTTGTGATACACGCTTTTATCAATTAATTGAATTGTAACAGGACTTCGATTTGATCCGTAACAAGACAACACTTATTTTTTCTTATACGTGTTCAAAAATGTGTGCTTGTTTACTGTGTGCGGGAATTAAAGATTTAGGATCTGACGAATGTATTTATAAAATAGCGTAATAGTGCTGGGTTAGCCGATGCCTTGTGATACACGCTTTTATCAATTAATTGAATTGTAACAGGACTTCGATTTGATCCGTAACAAGACAACACTTATTTTATCTTATACGTGTTCAAAAATGTGTGTTTGTTTACTGTGTGCGGGGATTAAAAATTAAAGATTCCAGATTCCAGATCTGACGAATGTATTTATAAAATAGCGTAATAGTGCTGGGTTAGCCGATGCCTTGCGATACACGCTTTTATCAATTAATTGAATTGTAACAGGACTTCGATTTGATCCGTAACAAGACAACACTTATTTTTTCTTATACGTGTTCAAAAATGCGTGCTTGTTTACTGTGTGCGGGCATTAAAGATTCCAGGTCTGACAAATGTATTTATTAAATAGCATAGTCTTATAGGGCAGGGGTGGCCAACGCATTGCGATACGCACTTTTATCAATTAATCGAATTGAAACAGGACTTCAATTTGATCCGTAACAAGAGACCACTTATTTTTTCTTATTCGTGTTGAAAAATATGTCTTTGTTTACTGTGTGCAGGGATTACAGGGGGACAAGCCCATCCCCTCGACATGTGATCCAGGGTATGGGGATACATTTTTCTCAAAATGCACACAGCTCTGAAATCCTTGACCAGTGATCACTCGCCATGGAACTCTTTCTGTTGTGACTGTAGACACAAGTTTCTTAATTATCACATCTAAATGAGTCTATCATTCATGCATTAGAAATCACACTCCCAACGCACAGAAAATGACTTTGAACATATATTCAGGAAACATATTATTATGCCAGTTCCACTCTTGTTCACTTTGCTTTGCATTATTGGCTTTTATGTGTAAACCAATATTTTGAGGTCTTTTCTGCATTTTTGTGTTTTTGGCAGCATGTACAATAGGCCTATATGTATTTTATGTGCAATCGACACATTCTCCAATCTCTTGTATTTGTTAGACTCGCACGTGCTTTAAACAAAGCATATGTTGTTGTACACACTACTGATGCAAACACAGAGATGAATTCTTAAAGTGAGAAATAATACATTTCCTCAATATAAGCTCAATTTATTTATCTCTTTCTAGTAAATTGGAGAAAAGGCTTATATTGTTCTTTTTTGCTTGCTTTGGATCTTAAGTTTAATGACAATATTATTGTAGTGAGCATGTTACTGTCAGCGTCCCCTTATCGTAGATCTAGTACTAATCAAGACTATATCTAGGTATTTTGCCAACAGAATTAATGTTCATAATTAATGTTATTATCAAGTGTATTGTGATTGTGAAGATCTTTAGTAGATCAGAGATCTAGATCTATCTAGATCTAGATCCCATCCCTAGTTTAAAAAAACAACAAACCAACAGTACTAATACAAATACAAAAACATTGTATATGTAACATTGCCAATTATGACATAATAAAAAGGTGCTAGACTATTTCACTATAGTTCCTCTTCGAAGAAAGTTTTAAAATACTGATGTAAGGTGTCTTCCAAGCCCTACCACTAGCATCAGCGTGCATAGCAACGCGAAGCCTCGCTGTGCGGCGCAGCCAAAGGTGCCCTCAACCGGCCGCCATGTTTTAGTTTCAATTCCTCACAGCGAATCGGCGATCGCAAAGAGGGAGTTCCGCTTCTATAAGTGTAGAATTCTGTGGTCCGTTCATAAATGTTTGGGTACCTGAGAGAAATATAAGTCTGCAAGTTAGGTTCCGTACAGGCTATCCAAACGTTTTTGCTCCCTCTCCCACTCCCACTCCACACACGCAGACACATACTTCACACACACACACACACACACACACACACACACACACACACACACACACACACACACATACACACACACACATTCACACATACAAACACACACACAAACATACACACACACACACACACACACACACAAACATATGAATGCACATATAAGCTCTTTACATACAAAAAAATGATTGACTACTATATCACTTCTACCCGACATTGTTTTATTTATTTTTTTATTTTAAAAAAAATTTATTTAGATTTTTTTCATCTATCTATTTATCTATTGTTTATTTATCTATTTATTTTGTTGCTTTTGGAAGACGTTCATCTACAGTCATTCAAGAAATGAAACTGAAATATTCCGAAGTACAACCTTTTGAAACTAAGAAGTTTTGAGGGAGTATCCACAAAGCTGTCTTGTGTTGACACATTTGCACTTAGGCAAATAGTAGAGATACTGGATTGGAAAAAAAAATCCTTTTTGTTTTAGTTTGCCATGTTCCGGTCCCCTCATTTTTCATTTCCGTGACCATAGGATATTTTGGATCCTCCATTTTTTTTGTCCTTTTCCTTTTCCTCTTGTTACTTCTCATGGAAGCTCGCTTGTCATGTGTTTACTTACCGTAATTTCCTGTGTAATAGTTTATTGTTACTCAGTGTGTCTGTTTTTAGAATGGTTTTGTCTCTCATATTACTGTGTATTTTTGTTTGTTTGTTTGTTTGTTTGTTTGTTTGTTTGTTTGTTTGCTTTTTTTTGTTGTTGCTTTTTCTTTGGTGTGTGTTGATGTTTTCCAGCAATCTTTATTTTCTGATTTTTTCAAATATCTAGACACATTTTGTTTTCATTGCTCCTGAGACCTACCCTTGTTTACCCCTGATCGAGAGAGGCATAAGTGGGAATGAGGTCAAGCGGTACCGTGCGTTGTTAATTAACCCTATCCGTACGCCCTGGGGTCATTTTGTACCCCCGAGGTTGTATTCTTCACATTTTAGAAAACTTTTAGTACAAAGATCTCTTTGAAACTTTCGGTATTTCTCAAAAAATCATTTTGACAGACTGCTATGCAAAGCGTACGGATCGGATTAACGAGTAAATTTCTTCTTTGAAAAGTGGTGGCACATTCGAGTTCCCCATGTAGGGATACGGTTAATAATTGCTCCGGGTTGACTTTTAAAACAAATCTCCAAGTCTCTTTTGAGAAATGAGGACTGAAAGAAAGTATTCCAGAAATAAATAAAGAAGAATACAACTTCTCTTTGATTTGGATATCGAATATTTTCTGTCTGGTCTTTGTGACTGACGCTCCAGTGCTGTGTTCCAAGAACGCTACAGTTTCCTTTAGTTCTTTGTTTCAATCCAAGGTTTTCTTTCATTCTTAATTTCTTCTTTCTTTCTTTCGCTCCTTTCTTTATCGATTGCTCTGCATTCCTTTTTCAGGTTATCAAATATGGGGTTTAATGTTTAGATGTTAGAGGAAATGGGTCATTTTTTCATGTCTATTTACAAATGGTGTTGGTCGCAAATCATCTAAATCCGGAAAGTGTGCACTGTATAACACTGGATGATCTATTACGACAATCATTCAATTGCTTTGAAATTCATTTATCTCATATCTCATTCTTTTTGGTTTTAGTTTTAACTGGGTAAAGAGAAGCACCCAACAAACGTCATTTAGTGTAAGTAAAAATCAAGATGGCTGACAGAAATTACTGAGAGAAACAAAATATTTGCAGGACTTTTTAGTGACCCTCCTCACCTTTTCCAAAATTAAAAAAACCCTCAACCGCTTACCCCCCCCCCCCCCCCCAAAAAAAAAAAAGAACCCACTCATTCTCGAAATTATATTGGGGAAAACAACCTCTGGACTGAATGAAAAACAGAAGGTTTTGTGGTTACTCTATTTTCATGTTTGTCTGCCCGTTTGCTTCTTTGTTTGTTGTTAATTTTTATTCTAGTAACTCCTTTCATTGTCCCTTTCTTTTTTCGTTTCCAGGCTGAACAACTAACAGAAGAACAGATCGCAGGTAAACAGACCACGAGCACTGATTATAAATTCTATCTAGGATCTTATCCTTGGAGGTTAATGCTGTGTTCCTTTACTCACACCCACACTCACTTCGTAGCGCTGACAAAAAACCCCACAAAAACAACAACTTGGGAACCCAAAATATCCCCCAAGTCAACACTCAATTTATAAAATGATTATGTTATCCATTTGGTTGAGTAGTCAGTACTCACGACAAAGCCTTCTGTCAGTGAGCTTGGTCCTCCTCTATTACACTTCACATATGTGTCACGACGCAGTAGAATCAGGCGCTCGTCAATTTTTGGGCATGTGGAGTTATTGAAGCTTAAAGCCTGTCCTTTTGCCTTGCTTGTGATGAAAAACATATCCATTTATATTGGATACAAGTCAAGATTTTGGCAATTGAAGGAAGTGGGGGTCACCTCGTTTCAGAGGTAAAATTACCAAGAAATTGGCCGCCAATTATTTCCTTAACTTGAGAGTCTGTCGAAACTGAAAATTTACAGCATGTATGCCTTTAGTCAACGTTTTTCCAGTGAAATGGGCATGAAGGGTGTTGAGCAAAAACAAACCAAAAAAAATTCGAAGAAAAATTCACAAACCTTCAGAAAATTGCCAGTTTCTGGATTTTCATTATTTTGACGAGCGCCTGATTTCACCCTGCTGCCTCACATATTTGTCATGCTTGGGATTCGTGATATTTTGTGTCAGAAGAAATCCCTTACCTCGTAAACTAAATGCTACTGAAGAATGGTTTCTCACAGACACACTGGAAATTATACAGATAAAGACAAACTAGAAATATTGGAAACAAGACAAACTGGAAAGATTGAAAACTGCATTATGCTGTTGAAGTTGAAGATCATGAAAGCAGGACAACAGAAGACAGAGCATAGATGTAATTTCTGATCCCAACTATTAAGTGACAACCAAAAGTTCTATAGCGTCAAGTTCAATGAAACTGGCAATGACGAAAGAAATATAGAGGTTCCTGGGACCAGATCCACAGAAAATAAAAGAAGTATTGAGGAAAAAACAACATTGCCTTAACTTTACATTCCCCAAACACCTTACCAGACACGCATCAACACACACACATACTCACACACGCACACAGACACACACACACACACACACACACACACACACACACACACACACACACACACACACGAACACATACACACACAGATACACTTGCACTCATTTGCACACACTTGTACACCCTTGTACACAATTGCACACACTTGCTCCCATTTGCACACGTTTGCGCACAATTACACACTCCTGTCAGGCTATACAATCTCTCTAATCGAAAAACAACACACCAGAACGGTCTTTGATGTTTCCCGCTTCGCCAATTTCTACCACGTTTCTGTCTTCTTTAACTTTTTGTTTGTACCATATGTGTGGATTTTCTTCCTATTATAATTTGTGTCTAGAAAGACATTCTCAAAAGCAAAAAAATCAACTCTTTTGTTAAATTCTGTCTCTCTGTCTCTCTGTCTCTCTGTCTCTCTGTCTCTCTGTCTCTCTGTCTCTCTCTCTCTCTCTCTCTCTCTCTCTCTCTCTCTCTCTCTCTCTCTCTCAGCGAAGCCTGTCCTGTGCATCCTTTTCTAGCTGTTTCCATGATGTCCCCGCCTTTTCCATTTCCGCTTGTACCGCTCGCATCCATGTCATCTTTGGTCTTCCTTCCTTGTGCTTTCCTTGTGGATTCCACGTCAAAGCCTGTCTGATGATGCTTGTCGGGTGTCTCCTCAGGGTGTGCCCAATCCATTTCCATTTTTCCACCTGTATGTCTTCCTTAACTAGCCTTTGGTTTGTTCTCTCCCACAGTTAAGCATTTGTGACTAGACTGTACTTAATCTCCACTATCCTTTTTAGACATCCGTTAAATATTTTACTGTATTCTAATTTGCTTGGCGTTGTGGCTGTGTTCTCAGAGTTCAAAGAGGCGTTCAGCCTGTTCGATAAAGATGGCGACGGCAGCATCACCACCAAAGAGCTGGGCACAGTCATGAGATCCCTGGGACAGAACCCCACAGAGGCCGAGCTACAGGACATGATCAACGAGGTGGACGCTGATGGTGAGTGGGGGAGGGGGAGGGAGAGGGAGGGAGAGAGGGAGGGAGGGGGTAAAAGGAAGGGAGGGAAAGGGAGAGGCAGAGAGGGACAGAAGCCCACAGAGGCCGAGCTACAGGACATGATCAACGAGGTGGACGCTGATGGTCAGTGCGTTCCTGCGATCTGTCGTTGTATTCATAACATATTATCTCAAAAAGAAAAAGAAGTGAAATGACAGTGGGAGATGCTCAGTAAATGTAACAGCTACTCAACTCAGTTACGACGAGTCGTATTAGTTTATAATGAAACTGTTCTACCTGTGAAGGGGGGGGGGGCGTGTTTTATTCAGTCAAACAAATTATTGATCTTTTGCTAATGCCAATTTTCACAAGAAGCAGACAAAGTGTTTATGAAATGTCCCAAACCTAATCCTCTGTGACGTCAATAATTTGCAGGTAACGGCACCATCGACTTCCCCGAGTTCCTTACGATGATGGCCAGAAAAATGAAAGACACAGACTCTGAGGAGGAGATCAGGGAAGCATTCCGAGTCTTCGACAAGGACGGTAACGGTTTTATCTCTGCTGCCGAACTACGTCACGTGATGACGAATCTGGGTGAGAAGTTGACGGACGAGGAGGTGGATGAAATGATCCGGGAGGCTGATCTAGATGGAGATGGACAGGTCAACTATGACGGTAAGATTTAACGACCATCATCATCATCATCATCATCATCATCATCATCATCATCATCATCATCATCA